AGAGAGAGAGAGAGAGAGAGAGAGAGAGAGAGAGAGAGAGAGAGAGAGAGAGAGAGAGAGGGTCAGGGACTGCTAATGATGTGCAGTAACCCCTGTTCAGAGGCAGCCTGGGGCCCAGAACTTAGCCCCAGGCGATGCAGACCTGGGTTGGTCTGGGCTGGGCTGTGTGACCAAGACGCGGCCCAGGCCTGAGTCTGCTGCGTTTGGCTGTGTGACCAAACACTGCGCACTGGAGATTCAAGGGTCAAAGTCAACTGTAGAGTCAAACATACGGCGCCCAGGCCCTTTGTTGGATACACTCACTTGTTGTGCGCAGGTACCCAGACAGCATCCAGGCTGGAGAGAATTCGGTTACCGACCAATCTGGGCCCTCGTTTGCATTGAGATCTGGACGGCTGAGGGATGCCCGGGGTCCAGACCCCGCGTCAACGCTACGCAAGCGCTGATTTCCTGGCTTTGACATTCATTCTGTCTTGCGTCAATGCTGACTTCACGAGTTGACGACGCGACGCTGGTGGACGCTGGCTTTGTGCTGGCATTTGGGAGATTTGTGGCGACGCGCTGCTAGCTCGGCATGGTGGTTGGCTGGCTATAGTCTTCAAGGCATGCTGACGTGGCAGCTGCCATGCGTTGTTGCTGATGTGGCTGCTGCCACGTGTTCTATGGCTGGGACTATGTGACCGGCACTGCTGTTCTGTTTCATCGTCACTTCAGGAGGAGATCAGGACTGTGGAGAGATCGTGGATACTTACCTGGTTGTCTTCATGTCGACATTGCTCCAGCGCTGATGAGAGACTGATTAGACGTGCCACGTGGCACATTGTGATAAAACGTCGGATATGCATTCAGACTATTGATTATTTGGGGTGGTCATCGAGGAAGGAGCCCGAAGTTGGAGTGGGCCTTGTTTATTCCTCTCCTTTGTGTAATCTCCCTCCTCTCTCCTTCGTCTGTGTAGGATTATCTCATCTCATTCTGTCTGGACACGATTTTGACTATTGGTAATCGTCAGCAGTTTGATATTCTGGGGCTTGCATTGTCGACAAGTGTCTTCACGATCTGGGTTCATTGCAGATGGTTGAATCGAGTGGATGAATTTTGGCTGCCCATAAGACGAGGCAGCGTTTGGAGGGTGAAGATGGAGGGGAGTTCCCAGACAGGATGCGTCCTCAGGGCCTGCAGTTACTTTTGTTTCTTGGGTGTGTTACGATCCTGGCGAATTTCGAAGTGCAAGATCACGAGGAAGTACAATGCCGTCCAGTTGCAAAAAGAAATGAATGAACTTGAGAGGAGAGAGAGGGTAAGAAGAAGATGTACACCAGCAAGGACCAATGATAATCCCCCTTCTCCTCGCCAACCAAACTCCTCCTCGTTTTATCCTCCCCTCTTATTCAAACAATAAATAATAATAATAATGATGAATGGCAGATCCAGAATCAATGTCCGAATCCCTCTTCTACTGCCAGCACAACTTTGAGGTCCACCATAGCCATGGCTGCCCTCCTCTTCCTCTTCATAGGCAGAGGCTATGGCGGACTACGAGGGCCCTGCCCTGACGTGCAAAAAACAACACAAAGCAGCTATGGCTGGTTCCACTCAGGTCGCCATGCCTGACTCTGCCTCAAAGCTTCTTGGTGTAGCTCTACCCCAACGGGGGCCTTCCAGATGCAGCGCCCACCAGGTGATGAAGATGGCGTCCACCATAGCCATGGTGGGGAGCTGGGCGCTTCTCTTCTTCCCCAGCGCTGGACTCAGCAGCTCTCCAACCAGCGCTCCAGCAGCGTGACGTCCAAACTTGCACGCAGCAAATGAGGAGCACTTCGCTCCTCCTGGAGATATAGCGGCCAACTTGCCTCTTGGGCGGTGACTTCCAGGCCGTGCGGCCTCCAAGCAACCGGTACTTCCTCCCTTTCGGAGGGAAACATCATTGCAGGCTCTGATATCGTGCGCACAGGCCCTAGACTCAAACTACTTGGACTGGTACACGCCTGGACCCAGCCGACAACTATTGGACCTCTAAAATTTTGTCTTCTTCTGCTCGGCCTCCAGTACCCGACACATTTACCGCTACTCGGTGTGGTACCGGCCTACCTGCTACTTGAGTGTTTTTCCCTGCTGCTCTAAGTGCGGCAGGCCTATTCCCACGACTTGAGTGTTTTCCCCGTTGCAACCCTCAAAGTCACGGCCACAGGTAATTACCGGCCCGACGGGGCCTCCCAAGCAAGCAAGCACCCTTGCAGGTCACACACACACTCAAGCCGTCAAACACTTAGACAGGCACGCAGACCAGCAAGCACGCACACACACAGACTTAGAAAACTCAGCAGAAAGCGGGAATCTCAGCAAGGCATTCATTCCAGTGGCAAAGCTCAGGAATCAGCTGTGTTCTCGGTCCTTGTTCCGGAAGGTCCTTACAGGTGTTATCTTTGTGCTGATGGGTCATTCCTGTTCGTTCTGTGATCTTATTGGTGATGGCAGAATTACTTGCAAAGCAATGAGAAGTACTATATGCTTGCCCACAGGTGGGTGGTGTGCCAAGCTTCCCATCAGATTCTCACTTTGTCAATTTTCGGCTCGTTCGGATGGTAGCATGTGAAGTATACATCTGTTGACTGTTAAACACATTGGATCACTTTTTCCTCCCCATGTGCATCCCCTGTGTGTGCTCAATAGCCAGCCTCTGTGTTGACTGGGACCTGTGTGTGCTCAATAGTGAGCTTCTCTGTTGTCCTCCCCAGTTGGCTATACAGTTAGCAAGCCCTCAACCACCTCAACCGATCACCCGTCCTTCTTGCCAACTGTTGAGTCTGGATAGCGTATGTTGAAGTTCGACGCCCTCAACCACCTCAACCGATCGCTCGTCCCTCTTGCCAAGCTCTCTACTCCTTCCTGTGTTATGGTCATAGCATGAGAGGTATGTTGGACCAATGATGGAGGGAGGGGAGGGGGGTACAAAACTCCCAGATTTGTGCACCTGCGCATTTGGATGACGTCTGGTCAGTCTGTCCAGGAACCCGTGTTTTGTGCAGAATGCAGGAAAAGGAGGTCTGGTTCTTTGAATTTTTGTTTTCTTTCTTTTGTATCAAGTCGCTGCTTATCACATCATGAAAGTGAAATGGTAGGAAGTACTATGAACACACAGACAATAGGAAACATTTTGCATGGAAGTAAATCGCATAGCAGTCTGCTGCACACAATTTTGCGAGTGAGAGGAAGCTGCGTAGCTCAACTGTGGAGACCTTTCATCCCCCAAAGCCATACACAGCTCATCGTTCAGCACTTTTACTAACCTCCTCTATCTTCATTATCGTTCTCCTCCTCCTCTTCCGCCTTCTCTACTTCATTGCTGTCATTCCCGCGCCCATTCCCCTCGTCATCATCAGCCGCATCAACCCCCACATCATTGACACTTGAGGTCTTGTCACCTAACATAGGATGCCATGTTGATGCTGGCTTTGCCCTTCCCCTCTGCCCTCCATCTGCAGCATGTGCTCTGCTACTCCGTAATTGTGCCCGTTATGCAAGGGAGAGTTCGCACTGGTCTCAATTCGTCTTGGCCTGGAATAGTCAAATACCGAGTTCAAGACCCACAGTGCAACAGCATATTTGTGGCCCTGCTAGCCTTCGTGTGCGTCGTAGAGGGGAGCAGCAACCTGCATTTCCACACATGGCTTCTGCTCCGGCACCACACCTGGATGCTGTTGGCTTACGGCCCCACCCTTTTCTTCACATCGCACAGCATGAGCAGCAACCTGCATTTCCACGCATGGCTTCAGCTCTGGCACCACACCTAGATGCTGTTGGCCCCACCCTTTTCTTCACATCGCACAGCATGACCTGCCTGCCTCCTCGCTGCCCTTCCTCCTCTATATGCTGGTGAAGCTCCTTACGCACTTGCTCTTTCTTAGTGCTTCCCAGAGTGTGCCAAGAAACGGATGGGTACAGCGTTCTATAAACCTAGCAATTATCATCGTCATTCGTGCCTCCGTTAAGCTAAACGGAACCCGCCATTCGGGATGGACGACTCCAAGTGAAATGAAATGTAAATGGACGGAAGCAGCATTGACTGTTGCTGCCCTTTTGCGGCCTATTTAATTTGGTGATCATGCGAAGCCGGCCACGCAACCCCTGCATCGTCTTATCTGGCCTGGCGGAAACATCCAGGAGGCACGCAGCGGATGTCCCCCCTCCTCATGCTAGTCCAACTCTCACTCAATCCGCTGTAACTGCTCACCTCCATTGATAGTGACCCACCCTTTGATTCTGAGTTTGAGCCCTCCAATTTTGGGTTCAACGAAAGGGGATTGGCATGTCAATGATATCATCCAAAACCATCATTGGTCTTCCTCTTCATGTCCGTCGCTGGCCCCACTGCCGGTCTTGCGTCAGTTTGTTCCATTTCACAATTGTTGGTGGAGTTCCAGTCACTTGCAGCAGGGCTTTTATTGACAGACAGATGGGAAACAATTATGGTCCTCTTTTCAATTCTTTATCTTCTTTTTCTCCTCTTCGAGACGTTGCCTTTTTTTTTCCGTTCTTGTTGTGCTCATGTTTCCTGAATGTCGTCCCATGAAGACTTTTGGCTTTGTTCTCCTCTTTTTTCTGCTGGTCGTAAGAGTCCGCTCCTTGTTTCTCTTATGCTTTGGCAGCAATGGGACCCCAGAACCTTTTTTTTTTTTTTTTTTTTTTTTTTTTTGGTCATCGCAAGCTTACTAACCACTCACCGGCATGTGTTTTTTGTGAAAATAAGATTGTTGTTATTTGGAAGCTCGGACTTTTTTCAGTCTCATTCTAAATTAGGGTTTGTGTGGTGTTGTCTGCCATCGTGGTGGTTTTGTGTTGCCATCCGTTGTGATGTGGGTCTTGCCAATTTGAACTTTCTGCTTCTTCTCTTGTTTTTCGACTGGGTATCGGCAACATTGTTCGCGACATGGCCATGGTCATCATCATTCGTTGGCCATCATTTGAAGTGTGAAGGAAGTTGTCGACCGGCAGCCGAAACTGCTGGTTGGAGGGACGCTACGTGAGTAAGTTGAAATTCCAGTGATATGGAACCCGGGGGGTGAAAGGTTGAGGGTGAGTCGGGGCGGCGTCATGGGTTGGGGGTAGCAAAATGGAGGAGTAGGGAGGTGTGATTTTTCTGGAGGTAGTAGTGGCATGGACCAGCTTTATGTTTTTTGGAATACCAGCAGCACTCCACTGATCATCGAATAGGATACCAGGGCTTTGCAAATTTCTGTTGAATAGTCTCGCAGCTCTCGCTCATGTGTCTGCTGTGCTCCAATCGTTTGGTTGCAATGCCCCCGTACATGGCCGGGATGGATGCTTGATTAGACTCAATGAAGCCTTTAGGGCGTACTCACATTTTTAGGACATTCGAGGATGTATCTGATCGTAACTTCCTCCAGATTCAGTCAAAAAGTTCAAGTGCAATTACGGTCAGTGTAATTACCTCCAAAAGAGTGTGTCGCCCGGCCCTCTCTCTTTCCCTGCTCTATGGTGCGCGCTGCCAGTTCAAACACACTGACTCGGGAGTCTGGATGGTTTTCAGGCGGGGGTTACAACTTACAAATATATCTTTCCCAAATTTCCAACTAATTCAAAAAAAAAACACGAAATTTAAGATTCAGAAAAAAAACTTGAGAAAAACAGAAAGCAAACCACTTCACATTACATTCAGAGTCTCGGATCCTCCGTGTTTCGCAGAAAGTGAGGTGTTCGCAGTCACGAACTGGAAGAGCAGGGGGAGTGCCGAAGGTAAGGAAGAAGAGCAGTGAGTAGGAGTAGCCGATTACATGTCGGTAGTGGTTTGTCCTCTCCTCCGTGTGATGAATAGATTGTGGAAGGCTCTGAAGAGTCGATGCTGAGGAATGGGCTATCATGGAGGGAGATGAATCACTGCGGACACCGATCTCTCTGAAACCTAGTACATGGGAATGCAGTGCGGCAAGAAGTCGCCTGCGCCGGACCACCATCCCACAACCACTTCACTTCCACGTGCAACGTCATGTGAGCGTGATAATGCTGTGCAAATGTCGCCATGAATGCTCACATTGCAGAATGACGACCTTAGTTCCTCTGTGCAAAAGAAGAGGGATGCGGAGAAGTTAATAACTTCTTTTCCCAGAGAAAACTGCAAACAACGGGTAGGCGACTACCGCACACACAAACAACAAGAAAACAACTATTCCTTCAACCTCTCTGGCACTCTTTCCTTGTGTGAGCGAAGCTGTAATATTGGAGGCAATAAGTTGCGTCTCCATGGTGCGAAACGCTATAGTCTTCACCCAAATATGAACCACCAAGATTTTTTTATTTTTATTTTTTGAAAAACGGTTCAAACACCACCAAGGTCATGAAATGTATGTAAGGTGACTTTGCTATCCAAAAACCGTCATGATGAGGGTGGGTCGTATTCAAGGGGAATACGGTGGCATCACGTGAGCATTTGTCAATACATAGCTCAGCCTCCATGGGTGATGGAGGCAATGTCTGAAATGGAAGAAGAAATAATAGGGGGACATTTTCAAAACCTCGCTTTTGGCTCTCGATGAGCAGTACTGGCTTGACTGAGTGCCACCGTCTTCACCCGAAAAAAATGCCCAGTTATTATTGCTGTATCTGGACTGAAAAGTGCACCAAATACGGCTATAATGACCGGCCGTTCTATTCGGTTGAAGACGGTAGTGCTGATCTGGGTTGCATGGTGGTTTGCTGTCTGAGTCGGAAGGGAAGTAATGTTTTGTAGAATCGATGCGCAGTGAAAATTCAAAATTGTACATTCTGTTGGATATTTCCTTAAATTCATTATTTAACGAATCTTTGATCGGAGCTCCATAGTTGCATGTTCAGCATGAGTGGCATCACGTGTGTCGCTTTGTGTTTCTCCTTTGCTCTTGTGTTGTTTTTTTTTTTTGAAAATTTTCCCTTTTTTTTTTTTTT